CACTGCAAGATGCTTGAAGTCCAGTGTGAAGTTTCCACAGTCTGTGTTGATTTGGGGAGCCATGTCATCTCCTGGTGTTGGTCCACTGTGCTTCATTAAATCCAGGGTCAATGCAGCCGTCTATAAGGAGATTTTGGAGCACTTCATGCTTCCTTCCGCAGACGAGCTTTATGGGGATGCGGACTTCATTTTCCAGCAGGACTTGGCACCTGCCCACACTGCCAAAAGCACCAAAACCTGGTTCAATGACCGTGGGATTACTGTGCTTGATTGGCCAGCAAACTTGCCTGACCTGAACTCTCTCTATGGGGCATTGCCAAGAGAAAGATGAGAGACATGAGACCGAACAATGCAGAAGAGCTGAAGGCCGCTATTGAAGCATCCTGGTCTTCCATACCACCTCAGCCGTGCCACAGGCTGATAGTTTCCATGCCATGCCACATTGAGGCAGTAATTACTGCAAAGGGGCCCAAACCAAGTACATATGCATACTTATACTTTTCAGAGGTCCAATATTGTTCTATGTACAATCCTTGTTTTATTGATTGCATGCAATATTATAATTTTCTGAGATTGTGGATTTGGGGTTTTCTTGAGATGTAAACCATAATCATCACAATTATGACAAATCATGGCTTGAACTATCTTGCTTTGCATGTAATGAGTCTATATCATATATTAGTTTCACCTTTGAAGTTGCATTACTGAAATAAATGAACGTTTGCACGATATTCTAATTTTTCGAGTTTCACCTGTGTGTGTGTGTGTACACACACACACACATATATTACACATACATACACACACGCTATATTGCCAAAAGTACTGCGACATCTGCCTTTCCACGCACATGAACTTTAATAGCATCCCAGTCTTAGTCTGTAAGGTTCAATATTGAGTTGGTCTACCCATAACAGCTTCAACTCTTCTGGGAAGGCTGTCCACAAGGTTTAGGAGTGTGTCTATGGGAATGTTTGACCATTCTTCCAGAAGTGCATTTGTGAGGTCAGGTACTGATGTCAGACGAGAAGGCCTGGCTCGCAGTCTCCGCTCTAATTCATCCCAAAAGTGTTCCATCGGGTTGAAGTCAGGACTCTCTGCAGGCCAATCAAGTTCATCCACCCCAAACTCGCTCATCAATGTCTTTTTAGACCTTGCTTTATGAACTGGTGCGCAGTCATGTTGGAAGAGGAGGGGGCCATCCCCAAACTGTTCCCACAAAGTTAAGAGCATGAAATTGTCCAAAATGTCTTGGTATGCAGATGCCTTAAGAGTTCCCTTTACGGAAACTAAGGAGCTAAAGCCTACCCCTGGAAAAAAAAAAAAAACCCCACACCATAACCCCCCTCCACTAAACTTTACAGTTGGCACAGTGCAGTCAAGCAAGTACCGTTCTCCTGGCAACTGCCAAGACCCAGACACGTACATTGCATTGCCAGACAGAGAAGGGTGATCCATCACTACAGAGGACACATCTCCACTGCTCTAGAGTCCAGTGGCAGCATGCATTGCACTTGGTGATGTAAGGCTTGGATGCAGCTGCTCGGCCATGGTAACCCATTCCATGAAGCTCTATATGCACTGTTGTTGTGCTAATCTGAAGGTCACACGAAGTTTGGAGGTCTTTAGATATTGACTCTGCAGACAGTTGGCAACTTCTGCACACTGTAAGCAAGCGTTGACCCCGCTCTGTTATTTTACATGGCCTACCACTTCGTGGCTGAGTTGCTGCTGTTCCCAGTATCTTCCACTTTGTTATATCACCAACAGTTGACCATGGAATATTTAGTAGCAAGGAAATTTCACAGATGGACTTACTGTACAGGTGTCAACCTATCACAATACCATGCTTGAATTCACTGAGCTTCTGAGAGTGACCCATTCTTTCCCAAATGTTTGTAGAAGCAGTCTGCATGCCTAGTTGCTTGATTTTATACACCAATATACACCCAAGTCCCAATACTTTTGGCAATATAGTGTATCATTATATATGTCCATAATAAAATATTGATGCTACACAGAGAAAAAATATAATTTGCAGAACTTAAAACACTACTTGATTATGGCTACATTATAACATAACACATTTTTGCTAATGAACAAACCGTATGAATGTTTTGTATGGATAAAATATTTTTATATCCAATCAATATATATTAGTTCCATTATAACCATAGTGATTTTGTCAAGTAAAAGAGTTTACAACACATTAGCGTGTAAGCAGGCATAGATAAGTATATAATTATGACATTGTCATCAGGTCTTAACCTATTGCCTTGCAATATAGAGTCCATGAAACGGACTTATGTTACAAGAATAATTTTAGCTAGGGAAATAGTAAACTTTTGCAAGCAGTTCATCTCTTTTAGTGAAGGTCTTCTTGCTTATTTTCCCAGCGTTGAGACAGAGGCAAGCACTGGACACCCATGCTTGTAAATTGTCAAATTCACATAACATTGGCATATAGAAACTTGATGTCTTTCATTTAGTGGAACAATAGAGAGATACAGTGCCTTGAAAAAAATATTCATACCCCTTGAAAATGTCCACATCTTGTCATGTTACAACCAAAAATGTAAATGTATTTATTTGGGATTTTATAAGATAGACCAACACAAAGTGGCACTTAACTGTGAAGTGGAAGGAAAATGATAAATGGTTTTTAAACATTTTCACAAATAAATATCTGAAAAGTGTGGCGTGCATTTCTACACCATCTAAAGATTATAAAGCTTAGGGAGGATATAGTCAATACACAATTCCCTTATTTCTGCTAAAGATAAATTCATTTAATTAAACTATTTTACAAATAAATATCTGAAAAATGTGGCGTGCATTTGTATTCAGCCCCCGAGTCAATACTCTGTAGAACCAATTTTCGCTGCAATTACAGCTGAAGGTCTTTTTGGTGATGTCTCTACCAGCTTTGCACATTTAGAGACTGAAATTTTTGCCCATTGTTCTTTGCAAAATAGCTCAAGCTCTGCCAGATTAGATGGAGAGCGTCCGTGAACAGCAATTTTCAAGTCTTACCACTGATTTTCAATTGGATTTAGGTCTGAACTAATCTAACACATGAATATGCTTTGATCTAAACCATTTCATTGTAGCTCTGGCTGTATGTTTTGGGTCTTTGCCCTGCTGGAAGGTGAACCTCCGCCCCATTCTCAAGTCTTCTGCAGACTCTAACATGTTGTTTTCTTCTAAGATTGCCCTGTATTTGGCTTCATCCATCTTCTCATCAACTCTGACCAGCTTTCCTGTCCCTGCTGCACAAAAGCATCCCTACAACATGATGCTGCCACCATGTTTCACACTGGGCATGGTGTGTTCAGGGTGATGTGCAGTGTCAGATTTTTGCCACATATTGCGTTTTGCTTTTAGGCCAAAAAGTTCGATTTTGGTCTCATCTGACCAGAGCACCTTCTTCCACGTTTGCTGTGTCCCCCACATGGATTCTCGCAAACTGCAAACGGGACTTCTTATGACTTTCTTCTTGCCACTCTTCCACAAAAGACAGTTCTGTGGAGTGCTCGACTAATAGTTGTCCAGTGGAAAGATTCTCCCACCTGAGCGGTGGATCTCTGCAGCTCCTCCAGAGTTACCATGGGCCTCTTGGCTGCTTCTCCGAATAATGCTCTCCTTGCTCGGCCTGTCAGTTTAGGTGGACGGCCATGTCTTGGTAGGTTTGCAGTTGTGCCATAAGCTTTCCATTTTTGAATGATGGTTTGAACAGTGCACTCTGAGATGTTCAAATCTTGGGATTTTTTTTTTCTATAACCTAACCTTGCTTTTAACATCTCCAGAACTTTATCCCTGACCTGCCTGGTGTGTTTCTTGGCCTTCATGATGCTGTTTGTTCACTAATGTTCTCTAACAAACCTCTGAGGGCTTAACAGAACAGCTGAATTTATACGGAGATTAAATAACACACAGGTGAACTCCATTTACTAAATTAGGTGACTTCTGAAGGCAATAGGTTTCACTAAATTTTAGATAGAGGTATCAGAGTAAAAGGGGTCCAAATACAAATGCATGCCACACTTTTCAAATATTTAATTTGTAAAACCTGTTGAAAACCATTTATCATTTTCATTCCACGTCACAATTATGTGCCACTTTGTGTTGGTTTATCCCAATAAAATACATTTACGTTTTTTTCGTTGTAACATGACAAAATGTGGAAAATTTCAAGGGGTATGAATACTTTTTCAAGGCAAAGTATTACAATTGTCTGGAATATCTGAGAAAATTGACTTCTTTCACCTGGGCAGACATACGATTTCTCGTCACAATACACATTTATGAGCCTGAAGGACTTTGTAAACATTGATCAGTTTCTCTTTGGTTGTTGCTGGGTGAATACCAGAAACCGTACTGTCCACAGAATTTTTCTGTAAGCAAGCTTGTTGATCTATCACTCCCGGCAGTTTCTTTCCCTAATGTTAATATGACCCATGTCTCTAGCCTGTGACAACTGGGATGCATCTGGTGTGAACCAGCCCTGAATCTTAGATGGCCATGGACGCATATGTGCGGTGGTTGGGACCACTTTTCCTACTGCTGCATATATGCATTACAGTGGCAGGAAGATGTTAAGAAATAAGAACAAAAACTCAAAACTCCCTTGCTGCATGCTTATTTTAGATCAGTTACTCAGATAATCACTGAAGTCAGAAATTGTCAGGCAAATCCCATTTTCAGAAGTAAACAATGGTAGCCAACATTTTTTTTTTTTTTTAATCACAGGTGTACCTAAACATTGTTGAAAATGGTAAATGGTTTGAAGTTGTCCTTATACATACTGTAGCTGGTTACACTTTCAATTGCTATATATATGAATGTAGCCCATAGGCTTACTTTCTTCACAATGATTCTATAAATCTAGCAACACAATTAGAAAGATGAATCATTAAAAAAAAAAACAAACAAAAAAAACACTACAAGACAAACCAATGGTTTCTGAAAGATAAATATCCAGCTATGCTGCAAAAACATACCTGATCTTCATAGCCTTCAACTTTTACTGGAGTGAACTGATCCAAGTTGTACTGTGCAAAAGCACTAGATGTGAGGAAAAAAATACCAGTAAATACTGGTGAAGAGAAAATAGCAGTAAATACTGAACGCCAAATAGCCTAAAATGAACTTTACATGAATCAATGTGCCAAATTACATTATTTTATCTGTCCCATGAATGAAGAAATGTTATTTGCAGGATCTCTCAAAAACCATATGGCCTCTGGACCAAGGACTGTAAATGTTGAATGTCAGAGAATGAACTATTTTGTTTTAGACCAGAAATAGCTGGTCTCAGAGACTTGGACTGGGTAAAAGAAAATCAGTAAAACAAGATAAGGGCTGCTGTCAAATGTTTACTGGTATCTTTGCCCACATTGGGAAGATTTCACTTTACTTCTTTTTTGTAACCATAAAAAGGTAAGAAGGACTAATCAGCATAGCAGGGACATAATTAACAATGAAAACCTGACAGAGGTTCTAAACCTTCTCCAGTCTACCACTACCCTTAAATATGTAGTTGACCTCAGACTGGAGCAAATATGGATGAAAAATACATAATATTGCACATATGTGTCATGAACATGAAACTAATAGCTGCATACTGCCAGGCAGTTATTTTATACTGCCATCGCCAGTGATGTGATAAAATGTATGTCATTTCTCGTTACTTTTGCCTTGCAAAAAAGCTGAACTGTAACAAATTATATTTTACAGACCTTTGCTCATCTATTATTGTGGGTATTACTACCAGGTATATTAGAATACTATATTCTGCATATTGACGACATATGGTGTGTATTTAACAGTAAAAGAATAATTTGCTCTGCCATCATTTTGCTGGCTTCAAATCTCCTATTTTCTTTAGTTGTGTTTACAAAGTTTCTTATGTCTGGTAGAGAACACCATTTAACATATGGCCATTAAATATAGTTTAAGAATGTACACGAACTGTCTATTTTATTAACCTATAGTCCCTTAAGACTGGTACACACTACGTTTTCTTTCGTTCAACCCAACGGGCTGAACAAAAAAATCTGACAGATCGTTGTACCAACACAAAGTACAGCGATCTCCCCTGCTGTGCTATTGTGTTCTGACAGGGGACCATCCCCCCTCCAGGACACTGTGATCAGCGCTGGCAGCCAATGGCTGCCAGCGCTGATCAGATGTTGGTTTTCAGCTTCGTGAGACTGGCTTCTGACAGGGAGCTGTACACACAGGCTGAAAGTCATCTAGTTCCTGCCGAACCTACCGTTTTTAGCCCGTGTGTACCCAGCATTACGTAGCAGTACACTTGACTTCAAAGAGAGAATCAGATGCTGCTCCTTCATTATCCAATCACAGGCTCAGAAGGGTCATTAGCCAAGCTCTGCTGCCTGGCACATTTGCATATATTTATTTCAACTGTTCAGGGAATGCAGCTTTACCTCAAGAATGTTCAAACATCCCAGAATATATCTCTAACTGATTGAATCTGTAATGCAGGCCATAGACTGTTCGTTTTACGATTTTTTGGATGAAAAACGAAACATCGGTCGATCTGTTGCCACCAATGATTGCGAAAATCGGCTGTTTTTCGCAAATTTTCCAGCATGACCGATAAAAAAATGAGGAGGAACCACGAAAATCGTCCGATGACATTGCCCCACTAACGGTGCGAAAATCTTTCCGACAAAAAAAAAAAAAAAAATTGGCCGATAAATGAATAGTCTATGGTCTGCATTAGGCTCACTCAAATTTACAGTAACACACGCTAAAAAATGGAAAGAACAGAGAGGCAGTTTATAAAAGATTTATTTGATGGTATTTTTTGTTTCATGGTGGTCGATTAAAGCAGAATTCCAGTCTTTTTTTTATAATTTTACCATGCAGTAGGGTTGTGCCCCCACTGCAAGAATCATCTGCTCCTTTTTTCTAGGGGTGAGGACCAAGCTTATACTCACCTGACCCACCGATCCTACAGAAAACCGCCCTCCCCCATGGTTCAGCAGTGGACTGTTCCTGTCTATAGAACATGCTTTGAGTGTGCTCATGTCATGAACAGTCCATTTACAAGACTGCTGGACCGCAAGGGAACAGGAGGCAAAAGGATCGGTCTTGTGCGCAAAAGATCGTTGGGTCAGGTGAGTACATCTTCGGTGTGCTCTCCCCTAGAACAAAACAAGCATTAAACCCTTAAAGCAGAATTCTGGCAAATTTTTTTTTTTTTTGCCTGGGTTAAACACCATTACCTGCTTGCGTTGACAGTGTGCAGCATGTCACTGTCCCCTCAGATTCCAGAACCACAAATCCCCTCCTAGTTCCAAAATCCACCATTTTGGGCTCTGCTGGTAAGCAGGACCTACATGCCATTATGGAGCGGCTATTCAATTTTCTTTTGGTTGGCCCTGACGCACTTACCTGAGCGTCTAACGGAATATGGGCTGCTAATAACTTAGCAAGAGTCCTGCACACTATTGGGATAGAAGCCCATACGTTTGGTGTGCCAGGCTGGCAGTGCAAAATTTTGTTTAATTAAAAAACTCACTAGAGTGAAATTCACTGGAGAGGTCATTTGCATATCACCCACCTTGGCATATAAAAAAAACTGACAGTTTGCTCCTCTCTATCTAGGATACAATTGTACCAGTTGCTTGTGAAGGGACAATGCTGATATTACTAGTACTCCTTCAATATTTGATAGTGATACTTCACTTCAAATGTAGTGGGCACTGCAAAGCAGTAACATTTACAAGCTATTTAATATTGTACTAAATTAAAGGTTAATCGTGAATTGACATGCTTATCTTCAGACTGTATTGAAGACCAATCACAAACTGACTGCATGTTACTATTGCGTTGCCTTGGGATGCCACCAAGTTTGTTCATATGAAAAACATTGCTTCTGGCATTTACAGAGGTATGTTTTTGTAACTGGACAGGCACACAGATTATATACATTTCTGATAATGTCAATGGATGGCTGAATGCAAACTTACTCAGGTTATCAAAGCAGGTCTCCAGGCAGATATTACACTTTAATTACTGTCGTTATAAATGTAATATAAACATGTATTTTAAATGTGACTTGATTTTGGGCTCTTCGAATCCCTTACACAGCAGCACTCAAGACTATGTAGAGGAAGAGCAACACAGAGCCAGATATGTATTCTGCATTCAAACAAAAAGAAAAGAGAGACAGCAGAGTTGACCTAATCAATATGTTGTTGTTTCTTTACTGTCCAAATCGCTGGCTAAAAGGCAACATACCTAGCTTTATTTTTGCCTAACTGCAGCAAAGAAACCTCAGGTCACTGGGATGGTAGTACTGTCTATAGGGACTGTGTAAATCTCAGCACTAGATAGACAAATACAAATCCTTTAGCAGTTACATCATCTCCCATATACGAACTCCAATTGTGCATATAACTGTTTGCCTTGAACAATCAAATATACAGTATTATAAACTGTAAAAGCAGAATTAGTCATGCCAATTTAAGGCTAATATCCGCTCACTTCACTTTCATAATAAACCTTCATGGTACTCACACTGCTGGCTTAACTACAGGTCTATGCTATTGAGCGATTGTACTTAACACTTGTGAATAGGGCCATGTGCGATTACATGCAAGAACCCCAGCAGGAGAAAGCACTACTGAAAGCAATGGGAGGCTGACAGTTCCCACAGCCACTTGCATGTAATTGTTCAAGCAGCAATTACCTGTGAGTTCTCGGCCATGCATGTATATAGTCTATGCCAAGGTAATCGCTGCTTGAGTGATTACATGCAAGAGGCCACTTTCAGAGGGGGGTTTTCCAGTAGCTTATCATTGGGAACCCCCGTTGGGATTCCCGCATGTCACTGCACACAGCCCCAATTGCAAGTATGAATGGGGCCTTAGATGGTGTTGTACAGGATTTCATCAGTGTGTTGGACGTTCTGGAAGAACTGTAATGATATGAACACTTACTGAGCAGCACCTTCCCTGAGTAAGTTGTCATTGTTGAGTAGGAACCGAACATCTGTACAAGAAAAACACACAAACAAAAAAACAAAAAAAAAAAAAAAAAAAAAAAAGTAGTCATTAGCCATCTTCTAATATAATAGAGCCTCAGATGTACAGTATGAGTAAACATGCTTGCTGTAAATAGAAATTATACATTTAAGGCCTGTGCAAATACATTCAATGATGAATATTAGAAAATTATATTTTTACATACATACTAAAAGATAAAAATAATAAACTTGTAGCCAAATGTAGCCGGTATCCAGCTATAAATCAATTTCTGTATATTTAAATGTATGGAACACAGGCTTCTAATGCCAGTCACACAGAAATGGATTGGAATTCAGCTGGTTCAGCACTGACCAGCCAAATTTCGATCAATGTATGGGCTAGCAAGTTGTACACAAAATCGATCGATTTGTGTACAACCAGCCTGTCAGGTTTTTCCTGAACGATCGGTGCCACTGGCTATAGTTGACAACACTGATCACTGTATTCTGAAAGGATGAGGGAATTGATCATTTCTTTTTGTAAACAAAGTGTAGACATTACAGTGGCAAAAACGTATTTTATGAGGAGTTATACTGTATCCAGTGCTGGAATTGTAAATGAACGCTCCTCTAACCTTATTACAAAAGAGGCAGACTGGCAGAAATGTGTGACCATACAGGCGCGTAGAATCTTTTCCATCAGAAATGACATACAACGGATAGACAGCTCCTCAATCGTGATAAACATAAGCGAAATAGTCAATAACTGTGGTCACAGATGCAGCCACATTCCATGCTGGATAAAACAAGGTTCACCTTTTATTTTTATAATTGATTTTTCATGTCATTCAGTATCTGTACGCCTGCATGAAGTAGAGCATACAGCTGCACTGACTGTATGCAGGAACCTGGAATTGCGCCTGTGATATGCTGATTGCGGGTGCAATGCTTTTACAGGAACCTAATGAAAAAAAATTAAGACAAGCGCATTTTTTTAATTGCAAAAAGATGTGCAGTATTATTTTTTTTTTTAAAGGTGAACTTATCCTTTAAAACATACCCAACAGGAGTAAGAGAAAATATTTTTTTAATAAACAACGCAGTGTTTAGTCACACATCTGCAGAGCGTTAAGCCTAGTACACGCGATCAGAATATTGAACAAAGTGATCGTACGATAATCTGATCGTTAGTACACAGCTTTCGTCCGAAATTATTTGAAGGGATAAGCAGGAACATTTTTCTCAGACAATACCAGATCGTACGATTTTCATTTAATCGGCACAGTTTACATCTGTAAATACATTACATCACTTCTAAATCTTCTGTTGTATGAGACTTTTCATATCTTTAGTAATCTCTTCAATTTCAATACGAGACTACAGGCAAAAAAAACAAAACAAAAAACAAATGTCCGATATTCTCATCGTGTGTATGGGGAATTACATGTGCATGCCTAGAACAGTTAAAAACAGCCACAGTACTGTAGATCCACGCCTTGACTCAGGAAGCTCAGCGCAGATCTATGATATCAATAAGAAATTGCTTAAATTCATCTTTACTTTGCCTGTTCAGAACAGCCTGCCATTCGGACGTGCATGAAACAATTGAAGCTGCTGCAGACACACCTAGGCACCTCACTTTGTCCTCCTTGAAACTGGGCTTGTGTGTGAATGTTCATTTTTTCACATTTAAAATTAATCTGTAGCATTAAAAACAAAATCTTATAAAATTCTATATAAGACTTGAAACAAGCACCTGTTGCTGGTCATACAAAAGCAAAAAAGAAAACTATTTTCATCCACAAATTCATATAATTCCGTTAACCATGCGCTTGGAATCAATTTTTTAAAAATAAAATTACGTACTTTATTACTGCCTTACTTTTGGCATTTTAGAAATAATTTAAAGCAGAACTAAAAGTATATATTTTATGGTGGGGGCATTGCCTGTGCATGGAGGAGGAAGTAATTTGCCGATTGCGCACCTGCAGAGACCCAGGGTATATCTTTGCTCTTAGACTCTCTACCTCACTGCCTCCAGTCCCCTATGGGCCGGAAGGGACTCCCTGCCATGGCATCCCAGAGTTCTGCACACCGGCAGGGCCTGTTCCTCCCGCGCTGCTACTAAGATGGCGGCCACCAAACACACGCGGCCCTGCCTCAGCCCGCTCCCGGTCTCTCTCGCCTATCCCTAGCCCGGTACTGCAGCCCGCTGAAGGCAATGGGTAGTGTCCCTGTGTCATCTCCATCCTCGCCCACAGACAGCCAGGGGCTTTATTCTCTCAAGGCTGAGCTATAGGTGACTCGCTCAAAAACTACCGAGCTGGACCAGACCTGTCATCTGTTGTCCACCACTGCGACAACCCAGGAGCAGTGCTTAGATGCCCACAAAGATCACCTTGCCCACCAATTCTTTCTTCATGAAGATTTAGATAATCATAACCGATGAAACAACATCAGGTTGCGGGGTTTACCCGAGGCAGCCGGCACGGAAGATCTTTTACTAATGGTCCAGGGTATCTTCCGTGGATTTGGAAATTGACAGAGTGCATCGGGCCTTGGGCCCACGCAACCCTGACCCAGCTAAACCTAGAGATGTCATTTGTCGGGTGCAATTTTACCGTACCAAAGAAGACATCGTGCGGAAAGCTTGTGAGAAGGGTCAATTAGACTTTGATGGTGCATCCATTACGCTTTTGCCTGATATCTCCAGCCATACCCTGGAAAAAACGGAAGGATCTCAAGAAGTTACTTGCTTTGCTACATGAACGCAATATCTCTTATTATTGGGGCTTTCCATTCCAAATGAAGATCTGGCGAGAAGGCAAGTTATTCACCATCAGAAGTCCTTCTGATATACCTGCAGTGTTATTAGCTCTCCACCTACCTGACCTTCCTACCTCAGACTGGCCTTGGTTCTACTCCCTGCCACTGGGATTTGGACACTCTCATGCCCCCCTCCCAGCGCGGTCAACTACAGCGGGCTCCGGGCCAACGGTGGACTCTGGGGGCCTGGCCTGTGGTCTGTATGGTTGTCTGTAATGCTCTAAGTTGTATATGCATCTATTAGATTCCCGTCTTAGTTGTTGCGCGTCTGTTGGTGCGTCTGGTGGTGGGGGGGGTCTCCCCCTGCTCCTTCTGTGGGGGGTTTGGGGGAAGACTCTCACGCTTCTGAAGCCTCTATACCTGTTGTGTGGTCCGCCTGTCGTGAATCTTTGGGGGTGTACCTCTCATAGTGATGGGTGTGGATGTTGTACATGCGGCAACAGGGCATAGGGGGAGCAGTAAGTCCTTGATTTGGTTTGTGAATTTTTTATCCCTACCCAGGGATCTCTGACTCCCTATGGGAGCGGCATCTTCTATTCCATGCAAATTGCCATTGCTTTTTGCTCACTTTTGACCCCTCTGGGGTGTTTTTGATATTCGCTCCCAGCTTCTCATGTGCTCTGTCTCCTTAATTTGATATGAGAGGTTTACTGCTGCCCCGTTGCCGCACAGTATGCCAGCATGACTGGCCTGATATGTTCCGTGGGGGGACTTGGATGCCTCTAACTTTTGGTCTGAGCCTTGCCCCTTATGGTGTTCACTATGTTGAGTTCTCATTTTAGATGCTTGATTGATCTTACTCATTGATTGTTTTCAAGGTTCTGTTTGTACCTCACCCATTCTTTATGGACTCGTGGACCTACAGCCGTCTTCAGCTTTTAAAGAAACAATTTCATGATTGACTTTTGGATCTTCAGCGTACGCTTTACCCCAAGACCCGTAATTACACATTTTTCGTCAGCCCATCAGTCCTATAGTCGACTTGACAATTTTTTTGCAAGTTCCCAGACACTTGAGTGGCCTCCATCCCTAGATATTGGTTCTCGCATATGGTAGGATCACTCTCACTGTTCCTAACTGTATCCTCCGCAAGCCCCCGTTCTGACTGCACCTGGCGTCTTAACGATACCCTGTTAGCCGATCCTACATGCCAGTAGGTGTCATAAATCTCCTCCTACTCCGGACCTGCTTGCTTCCATATCTGCGACCAGAACCTCCTTATTACAACTTTATGAGGTTTCTCATAGTATGTACCAGCGTTGTTTGGCCTTCGGCAGATATCGTTTTGGCGACAAATGTGGTCGCCCATTGGTACGATCTTTACATCCTCGTACATTGCTGACTTTTATCCTATTAAAACTTCCTCAGGCGACCCGACGTCTGACACGCCTCTCATCTGTGAAACTTTTTGGGATTGTTTCTCAACCCTGTATAATCTGTCTTCTCAGGAACGGGATAGGGATTACTCACCATTCCTCGACTGCCTTCAAGATTATGTTTGTCAAACGAGCTTGCCCACCATTGATGCTGACACTAGGGATTCCCTCGAGAGCCCTTTTTCTCTAACAGAATTGACGGATGCCATCATGGTGACCCCTTCGTGCAAAAGTCCTGTTGCCGATGGAGTCACCCCTAAATTCTATAAAATCTTCTAGGATGTTCTTTCTCCATTTTTGTTACACGTGTTTAACTCCATCTCTGCTAATTCCTCTTTTTCACCTCAAACTTTGGAAGCACACATCTCCCTTCTCCCGAAACTGGATATGGACTTGAGCCTCTGCTCTAGTTATCGGCCTATCTCCCTGATTGGTGTGGATATCAAGATTTATTATTAATATACAGGATTTATATAGCGCCAGTTTGCTCAGCGCTTTACAATATAAAGGGAGACAATACAGCAACAATACCGTTCAATACAAGAGGGATAGGAGGGCCCTGCTCCTTGGCGCTTACAATCTAGAAGATTTATGCCAAAATGATTGCCACCCCTCTGCAGCCCCTACTCCGAATCTTGTTCATACAGACCAGGGTTTGTGCAAGGTAGGGAAGCCCGTGATAACACCTTGAAAACTCTCTTAGTTATGAAACATGCTCAATCTGTTGGACTCCCTGCTTGCCTCTTGTCTGTCGACATTGAGAAGGCATTTGATAGAGTGGGGTGGCCGGTCTTAGCACAAACGTCTCAAATAGGCTTGGGTCC